TGTGATTTATGCTGATATCAATGCTGTCAGTGCATGTCAGATGTCTAAGAGGTCAGGTATGAGTTCTGGGAATCCATCTCTTAGATGCCTGTGTCTGTTTGTGAATCTGGGTCCTAAATGTTTTTAAATAACTGTCTTGTGTAAGTAATGGGCAACTCATGCTCATGGCACTTGAGACTAATGATAAATAATGATATCAGCCATGCTGATATTGGCTTAGTTGATTAGGTTAAGGTGACAAAACACTGCATAAATGTAATTGAATAAACACTGCAAGGAAATGACGGCAGTGAAACATTTATGCACGGTCCCTTGAAAGTTTCTTTACAGGCTTTTGTCTTTTCCACATCTCAACACTAAAAGAGATGGGTTGGAATCACTGTTTGGTTTAAACAGTAATTATGAATAAATTAACAAAACCAGAAATTTCTCCAAACTTCCATCTGAAAGTTTCTTCCTCCCCAGCACATCTTTAGTCAAAACTAGTCTAAAAATAAGTGCAGTACTTCTAGAAATATTTCTAACCATTTAAAAATCTTTTTTTTGTCTTTAATGTCAAAGAAGACTTTTTAAAACTCAATTAAATAGCCAGCAAAGAACAACGTACAACACTTAAAGAGAAACACTAGTATCTGCAGAAATATAAATATATAAATAATATTTTAACTATGAAAAAGTGAAAATAGTATTATCCTGATCTGATAGGGCAAGGTAAAAGCTATCACACAACTTTTCAAATGAGTAAAGGTGAATGAAAATATGATTAGGCTTCACATTCAGAAGTATTTCTTGAATTCCCAAGTAGTTATACCCAATAGAGAGCAGTTTAAGTGGCTCTGTGTTTTTACATTAACACAGGCCATTTTTAGACTGTAATCCTGAACTAGGTACAAAACAAGGGAACTATGCTAGTGATTTCAGTGGAACCAGGATTTCAGCCTTAATTTAAATCAAGGGATATACAAGTTTAAAATAAACATATTGCCACTATTACTATTAATATCACACTACTCTGAGCATTGTTTTATTGTGCTTTATGCTATATCACCCTCTCTCTTCTCATATTTCTATTTCAGACATCCCAATTATATCTTTAAATGACCTACTTATGGGACAGATCCTTATTCCCATAGAATAGTACTTTACTCCACAACCAGTCTGATTTTTAGTAGTTCTAGGCATAAGGTAGCATTCATAATGAGCAAAGACAGCAGAGTCTGGACCTATGATACTATAAATACTTGGACCCTGAGGAGAGAATATGGTTTTGAAGATGGATGCATTAATTTAAGTTGGATGCATATAAAAGGATCAATAATTTCCAATAGAAGCAAATTCTTTTATGCAGAAGATGTTGTGATTCAATTGCTGAATGATCCATGCAGGACTGCTCAGGGATGTATGAGCTGCCAGCAAAATACATACCTACCACCACCACTCCTGGGTGCTTCTGAAATACCTGTGCCAATGCTAGAATGCTAGAAAGCCATGCTCTCTTATGCATGACCTCCAGGCAGGCGGAGCTTAGGAGAATAACATCAGTGAATGAGTACTTCCAGATCCAAGAGCATATTTCCCTGAGCTATCGTTATCAAAAGATAATTAACACACTGTTAATGCTTTCTTTTTGGAGCTGATCTTGCCCTTTTTGGTTTGATATCATCTTGTTTGCAATCCAGAAGGTGTTCAGCCTTTTGTAAATTTAAGTAATTTTCCTTTAGAGTAATTAAGTGGAACAGAGTGGTGAGCATCTATATATCACCCTGCTAACACAGTGCTGTTCCCTACAGTACATTTCCTCACATCTTCTCAAATGTCATTTGAAAAGTTCTCAACTTTGGGCATCTACTGTATCATTTCTCTTAGAACAGTGGTTTTCAAACTGTGTTTTGCAGAACCACGTGGTTCTACAATGAGTCATCTGGGGATCTGCAGAGATTGGGAGTAAAGGCAGAGCAGGCCAGGAGGCAGTGTACTACCGTTGCTGGGCTGGGTTGCATAGCTCTGCGTCAGCCTAGGGGTAAGGGTCCCATAGCAGAACAAGAGGTTTCTGTGACTTTAAAGAACCACTGCCTTAGAATTCAATTCCATAATTCATCACATCTCTGCATTTTTCTGATATTCCCTTTACCTTTTATCTCATTAAGCCTTTTGGTAACTCATGTAACACCCAGATCCTCAACCTGAGTAAACTGTCAGAATTCTACTGAGGTTTTCAATGACAACAATATACAGGAGTTGAAAAACTGCTTACTATTTAGTTTTCATCATATTTTAGTTCCATCAGTCCTGATCATATTTTTTTCTGTTTGCTCTTCTGCCAGCTCCCTCTAGTTTGTTAGTAATATGGTGCCTAAAACTGAATGCAAGATTCCAGATGAAATGGCCTAGAGTCAGAGAGAAAAGGATAGTTCTCTGCTGAGTTGTAGGACCTATCTGTATCTCCTACATAAAACTGCTTTAGGATTTTTTGTTGCTATATCTCCTTGGAAACTCATGTCTAATTTGCTATGTGTGTTATCCACTAGGTATCAGCATTCATGCCCTGACGGTAGCTTTCTCTGGGTTTCAGATTAACCACATATGCACGTGGAAAAAAATATAGATATATAAATAACACATATAACAAATAGTTTTTAATTTTCCCCAGAGCAATCGTTTGTTAATTCCTGCTCAGATTTTGAACCACTGTGGGAGCGTCTACACAAGACACTACTGTGCAGTAGCAGCTCACAGTAAACATCTCATGTAGACACTGGTAGCCAAAGTAGTGAGTTTAAAGGTATCTGGGGTATGTCTATAACATGCTGAAGTCACTTCTGTGCTGCTAATAAACTGCTGGTGCTGCAACATGGACATAGGTCAGAGCTGCTTGCTTTCATGAGAGTGTTCCAGCCTGTATATCCCTAGTGTACTGATCCTCCACCAAGGTGTTACAGCACCCTGGGGTGCCTTAAGATCCTTTCAAGGGTGCTATGGGGTACCACGCAATGTTAGCATGGTTAGGTGTTCAAACATGATTCACAAGATAAACCAAGACATTTCAAACAGAAATCCATACTTTGTTCTGAGTTCTTTGCAACAGCAAAACTACTCTTTTATTTTTCTGTGGGCCATAAAAGAGTGAAAACTTAGAGCTGGCATTTTCTAAGGGGTGCCTTGAGTCTGTTCAAGGTGTCTTGAATCTAAAAATGTTGATAAGCAGTGGTGTAGTGGATAGAGGTCATGAGTCAAGGGGTGAATTTAAGACACGCTGCTGTCTTCAGAGCTTCTGACTAGTTTGCTTTTCTGTGGAGAATTTGGAACCCAGTCATCTGCCATTTCCGGAGCGAGCCCACTAGCTATTGAGACACCGGAAAAGAGAGAGGCAGCACACCCACTGCAATCTCTTTCCGTCTTTAAAAAGAGAATAGCAGCTGTAACTGCATGTTGCCAATTTGTGTGAGGCATTCTCTAAGCACACCTTCTGGATTGAGCCCTTCAAGGGAGTTAGGCAGATCTAAGGTTAGGAAGTTGACCAGTCAAATAAAGTTCGGTAAATTGACTGGTCAAATATTGGTTATCTCCATGTGAAGATGGCAATACAGTCAAATAATACACAGAAAAAGCACTAATTTTCTATTAAGAAGTTTGTCAAAAGCAATTAAAAATTATATTTATGTCAAGCAAACTGCCAAAAAAATCAGCTCCCCATAAAATTGCTATAATCTTTGACCAGTCAAAGAATATGCAGTCAATTGGCTGGTTAATTGAAAATATTTGACCTACTGACCATCTTACCAACCCTAGGTAGATCCCTTCCTTTGAATCCCAATACTTATGGGACCCTGGTTAAATTTAGGTATGCTCAGCCCTATAAAACTAGAGGTAAAGCATGCAGACAAAATTAATATCTGGAGAAATTTATCATTAAAAAGGTTATGCTCATTGGGTTTAGATGCCTCCAGAATTGGGTACAGGTGAAATGAGGGCTTTCAGGACAGAATTTTTTGCTTTATGTCTTACTTTAGGCATCTAAATCTTTTATTAGATTTAGCCCTAAATTCCTTTGCATTTGATGTAATACAGCTATTTTGATGTCCCAATGTAAATAAGGATTTTGGCACTGATCCTGTAAGTACTTATACACATAATTTCCTGTACACATAAATATCTCTATTAACTTCAATGAGACGACTTGTGCAAAGAAGTATTCGGGTTTTTATTATTAACTTTGCCATGATTAAAAGAATCATTTATGCCCAAGCTGAATAGGTATAGTGGAGAGGTCTTTGCTTACTTTATGTATGGGAAACTAATTTATACCGCCATAAATTTTTCTTAGATGTTTTAACTTGAAAAATAATTTAACGTTAGAGAATGAAATGAAAGGAAGAAAGCAAGCTAGCTTGTATAATAGGACTTATATAGAAATGTGTTTCACATAAAGCAGCATTAGTATTAAATATGACATCAAATTAGATTACATTAGCAAAAAGCACATAACATTGGCAGCACATGAAAAAGGCAAAATGCATGCATGATGTGAAGATGAACTTTAATAAGGGGCAGTTGAAAGAAATTTCTGCATAGAAAAATGATACCTTTGTTGTGTTACCAAAATAACACAGTACACATAACAAAAGCATGAGGGGTATTTGGCTTGGCTTCTGATTTTGGAGTTATAATTAGCCATAGTTCCTGTTTCCTACCACATGCACATATTATTTCTCTGGCAGAAAAAAATATTTTCATTTCTTGTCATTTGCTTTAAAAAAAATGTTTGATCACATAAAACTATCCTTTAATTTCCATGAAGTGAAAAACGAAATGTAAAACCCTCTTGTTTAACAGGCTATTAACGTGACTGTGAGAGGATAAAATGACTTCAATTAATTCAAGTTTATAAAGTAATTAAAAAAATTATAAGCATACTTCTAAGAGGCTCAATGGAGTGAGGTGTTTAATGATGCACGTAAAATTTCAGATTCACAATTAAAAAAGCACTCAGGTTTCAGTACCTCCCCATAACTATGCCTGTCATCTGCAGAGTAACTGATATATGGAGAATAGGAGATCATATCTGGGCGGTCAATATTATAGATGGCTTTATTTTTAGGAAGAGCAGCCAAATCCCTGTAGTCAAGAATTTCATCGCCAAGCTTTGCCTAAGAAAGGAGGAAAGAAAGCAGTCAGGACAAGAAGGAATACAATCAGGACACAATCAGAAAAGGACAGATATATATATATATATAGATAGATATATATACACACACACATAGATAGAAAAGCCAATAATCATACATTTTTTCTTTGATGACTGAGAATTTAAACATACTGCAAAACTTTAAAGGTATACAATTGCTTTCCTTGCAATTGTCACACTTTCTATTCCCCCCATCATGCACATTACATAACAAAGGCAGTATGGCACAATCCACATTTTCTTCATTCATTTCCTCCTGACTATTAGGGGTGTAAAGAAGGACTAATTCTGCAATCCTTGCCCAGAAAAAAAATCCTTTATCCAAGGTGATTTTGGCTGGATATTTCTCACCCCCACCACTGTACATGATAATGAGTAATTATATATTTATTTCCAACATTGTCTATCCAGATGGTAAAACTCATCCATTTTGCTAGCCTGTAACTTCTCGCATTAAAAGAGCTCACACCACCTCAACCTTTGTTGACTATTTCTAACCTGTTCCTTATTCCTGCATGTCACAGGGCACTAAGGTGCCTGCTCCTTTAAGAACAGAAACTACCTAGGGAGAGGACCCAAACAGCCAGATAGAAGCCCACAGGTGCAGGTTACTATGGCAACAGACTAAGGAGTAAATTAGCCTGCGCCTGCACCTGGTCAGATGACCAGAAGAGGCAGGGCCCTGGGCATATATAAACCCCAGGGCTGGGACTAGAGGTGGAGTTTTCTGTCAGCAGCCAAGGGGGAAGGAGCGCCCAGAGAAGAAACTCACCAGAGGCTTGGCTGCCTGCTCTACTCGGGGTAGGATTAAGGGCTCCAGGAGCTCACCAGAGACCCTGGCCTACAAAGCACTTAGTGCTGGGAGAAGTTTGATTTTTGTTAAAGGGACAGAGCACACACTGAACTCCTTGTAATATGATATAGCCCAGGGGCTCATATTTTATTTGCTGTTTATGTGGATCAGGCTGAGGCTATTGGGGAAGGAGGAGGCCTCATTGGGGGCCCACTATGGTGTGGAGACCCCAGCACCAGAGAAGGGTGCAGCGACAAGGGGATGAACAGACCCCAGCGCCAGTGTGGGGAGCAGAGACAGGGCTGTGGAGAGCCCAGCGCCAGTGTGGGGCACAGAGACAGGGCTGTGGAGCACCCAGTGAGGACAAGATACAGAGCTGTAGCAAGGCCCCAGGACAGACAGCATTTAAATACTATCTGCGAGGCATGGGGCATGGTAAAGGGATGGTTTTGGAGCCACGCATTGAGTCAGGGTGTCCTGTGAGGTATCCATTCTGAAGCAGGACCCAAAAGGGGTCTAAGAACCCACAGAGTTCAGTGGGGTCCATCAAGACTGTGTCCAGAGTAGAAGCTTGAGGGCAGCTTCCAGATTTATTAGAACTACCAGCAAGACGTGGCAGGAGAGAAAGGGTGCCCGTGGGGCAGGATTGGCATGGTCAAGGAACCCTAGGGGTATCACGACCATCCCTGGGGACCCCACACTGTGACAAAGTGGTGCAACTGCATGGAAGAGGGAGCAGTCCAGCACAAGAAGTGAGACCAGGGGCCTGAGTTATCAAGGCAGCCCGCAGAGGGTGCAACACCCAAAACCTAGGGGACAGAGACTACAGGGGGCTCAAAGCCTAGTGCAATGCGAGTCCGAGACAGACTCCAGAAAAGGGAGATTAGTTGAGACCAAAAAGGGAAAGCAGGCCGAAAGGCCAAAGATGAGAAGGAAGGGACAACCACCCAAGGAGACCTTAGAGAAAGGCACTTAGTGCTGGGAGAAGTTTGATTTTTTGTTAAAGGGACAGAGCACCCCTGAACTCCTTGTAATATGATACAGCCCAGGGGCTCATATTACTGATCATGAATCTAAAGATGCTACAGCTCCACAACTCAGGGCTGTCTAACTTCTGGGTGGCCAGGGGCCACATACCCTCTGGCCACATGCCACACAGGCTGTGCGCCATCCGCATTGGCCCTCCTTATAGCACCATGCAGAGTGTGCACCAGTGCTATACCACACCAGTGCCCCACGTGCCAGCAACACCACTACTCATGGGATCCCTCAGTCCTGTGGGCTGTGTTGTCTCATTCCACCCCCAGAGGTGTGGGGACACAGAAAGAGCTGGAGAAGGGAGGTGGAGACCAGAGACTCCAGCAGCAGTAGCAGAAGAGTAATATGGGGAGCAGCATCTGAACTGGGAGTCCAGGAGCTGCAGTTTAATCCCTTGAGGGTTTAACTGCCAGTTGGAGAGTCCTGCTTTAGCTGATCACAGATGTCCTCATCTCTTATGACCTCCCTCAGCTGAAGTTCTAATCTTTTTGCTGCTGTTCACACAAGTCTCTCTCCAGAAAGTGAGATAATCAGAAATCACATTTTCATAACTCCCCTTCCTCATTTATTTCTAGTATTCACCACTACTAATCTAGCATTTCCTAAACTTGTTGATGAGACACCAAACCAGGCCTTACTGACAGAGAAGAGAGGGGCAATATCTTTTTTCTAATTAGCAGTTCAGTCTTCCAGATTGCAGCCAAAAAGGGACTTTGGAATCAAAATGAAGAGTGAACCTGTGTTTGATGCATGTTGCCTGCTTTCAAAGCATAGCTCAGCAATCCCAGAAGCAGTCAGTGTTAATCATTACACCTCTGAGATTCCCACTTCTACATTGCCCATGCACACTCAATCTAACATAGTCTGTAGCTCAAAAGCCACACTAGATCCCCAAATCTACACTGCTTGTTCTATTTCAATTTGACACATTCAGAGGTGTGAGACCTATAGGGTCACCAGCTCCTACATTCTCAAGCTGTTCTGTAATTTCTTTTTGCTTGATCCTTCTGCTCTGATACATTATAGCTGTGCTAGTCAGAGATCCATAATGAGGACTGAGCTGTACGTACAAATGCTATTCCACTCCTCCGCTGGAGGGGAGTAGGCGAGTGGTAACTGAAGAATCATTTAAAAAAAATATGAGTTCAATAACAATATAGTTTTAATTTTATCTTTTTTCTCTTCCTAGGTATCTAAATGGGAGTTAATCTCAAAAAACTTGCTGACAAATCAGGCAGTTATGATACAGACACGCAAGAACTGGGATTTAAAAAAAATCTAATTAACTTATATTTGCTAGAAAACTTCTTTCTTTTGCAGTCCCAGGTGCCCCTGAATAGGTATGTCACAGAAACAAACACTAGTATTGTATGCTGACTGATTCCCCTTGAAAAAATAAGAAAAGAAAATGGTGTTTTGTCTTTGACTATAAGCTGCTTATACACATTAAGAAAACTGTTTGAAAGAAGCAAGTATTGTACAGCAGCCATAAAATTGCCACTACATAAATAAAAAAAATAAGAATGTGCATACTTATAAAAGCAGAAGAATGGAATAAGGTTGGAAAAAGAGAGACCATATGACATGCTTACGTGATACTAGTCCCAATCCACAGCAAATATGCATCAGTGGCAGTTGTGGACACAGTGTTACCTGTATACCTGACAACATATCAGCCTCTACTGATAAGTGTTTTTACTAGAAGGGGGGCACATTTTACATGTGCCCACCCTGCAGTAGCCAGAGGGAGCTCCAGGCTCCACTGGGTGCCAGCCCTGGGCTGGCAGGGGGCACAGGGTCTGGAATCAATCTCTATGGGGCAGGAGAGAGCTGTCTGCTAGACATGTGGAGATCAGGACCCATCCAGATCTCCTCAGCAGGGCTGGATTAATGGATAGGCAAACTAGGCACATGCCTAGGGCCTTAAGTGAAGAAGGGGCTCAGTTGTGTTTATTTTACATATGATAATTATTGAGTGAAAAAAGTAATATAAATATACAGTATGGGGCTCATGAGTTTGTTTGCCTATGCTCTGTGCTGTGGCAGATGGGACAAAGTCAGAATCAACAGGTAGCTGATAATATCCCTCTTTTGTTTTCTTAATGGGGTGAAAAACACTGAGTTAGGGGTGATAAACACTGTATTATCAATTCCCTGCTGGACTGGTTGGGGGGGAGGGGGGGCGAGGAATTCCTTCCTAATCAGTGTCCTGCCAGGGCCTGGCTATACCCCCCATCAGCTCAGCACTATGGAAGGGGACAGAAGGCTGCTCTAGCACCCCCCAGCTTCTAGCCTGAGCCACTGTAGGCACGTGCCTGCATTTCTGGGATCTCTTTCCAGTTACAAACTGATTCAGCCTAGCCAGGTAAGACTAACTTGCAAAGATTGAATAAATTCAGGATCAGGTTTTTTGAATGTCTGTCTCTAGCCTAAGAAACAGCAGCAGCAGCATTTGGCTCTAAAACATCCCTGTATTTTTCTTTGTGTAATCTTCTTTGTGTAATCACCAAATCTTGGCATAATATTTCTTTGATTAAAAAGAAATACTAACCAGTAAAGTTAAAAAGTGGTAAATTGAATCTATGCAATTGTCTCTGGTTAGGTTATTGTGCAATGAGAATGATCCATGTGCTTCCATGAGACTGCACAGGACGGAGAAGTTACCTAGAGGAATTTTAGAGTATTTCAAGAGATACGAACATAGACAGTTTAAATTTAAAATGGTAATCTAAGTGCTAAAAACATTTAGCAAAGGACAAAAATATTTATTGACACAAGTAAATCATTGTGGTGTGCCATGACCAGTGGGGTCCCCCAAGGCTCTGTCATTGTACCAATACTCTTTAACATCTTTATTAATGATTTAGACATTGGTGGTAGGAGCAGACTGGCCAAGTTCACCGATGATACCAAACTTTGGGGTAAAGCATCTACACCTGAGGATAGCCTGGTGATTCAGGCTGACCTTGACAGGCTCAGAAAATGGGTGGATGAAAACCTGATGGCATTCAACACCAAAAAATGCAAGGTTCTCCACCTTGGGAAAAAAGCTCTGCAGCACGCTTGTAGGCTTGGCAGTGCTTTTACTTGCTAGCACCATGGCCGAAAGGGACTTGGGGGTCATGACTGAGCACAAGATGAATATGAGCCACCAATGCGATGTCACAGCTGTAAAGTGAGCAAAACCTGGCTTGCATCCATAGATGTTTCTCAAGCAAATCACAGAAAGTCATCCTTTCACTGTACTCAGCTTTGGTTAGGCTGCAGCAGGAGTACTGCATCCAATTCTGGGCTCCCCAACTTAAAAATGATTTGGAAAAACTTGAGAGTCCAGAGGAGAGCCACACACATGATCAGAGGGCAGGAGAACAGGCCCTATGATGAGAGGATGAGAGCCATGGGACTCTTCAGCCTGGAAAAGTAAAGGCTCAGGGGAGACCTGGTGGCTGCCTATAAGTATATAAGGGGTGTACATCAGGATCTGGGGGAATGCCTATTCACCAGAGTGCCCCAAGGGATGACAAGATCAAATGGTCACAAACCTCTCCAAGACCATTTCAGGCTGGACATAAGGAAAACCTTCTTTACCATCCGAGCCCCCAAGGCCTGGAACAGACTGCCACCAGAGATGATACAAGCACCTACCTAGACTCTTTTAAGAAACATTTGGACATCTATCTTGCTGGGATCCTTTGACCCTAGCTGGCTTCCTGCCCCTGGGGCAGGGGGATGAACTCGATGATCCCCCGAGGTCCCTTCCATCCAACCCTAATGTCTATGAAATCTACGACAGAAACTGCCAATATCCTGTTATTTTTAAGTATGGTATTTAAACACTTTAATGTGAGAATGTCAGTTTGAAAGAATCAAGAACTAAAGTGGCTTGCAGATATTACATTTCTCTGTAGTGCATTAAACAGTTCATTGTAAAATCTAGTATACATTTCTTTGCATCTCACAGCATGGATTTCAGGAAAGAATGCTTACATAGATCACACGGCTCGGGGAACCTGATGTACTTGAAGCAGGTACAGAAATAATGCTCTCAGAAGAAGTTCTAGTTTCCTATGGCAAAAATAATAAGAAAATTTATCTATGACTTAAGAAAGATAAGGTGTAAAAAGTCTTCCACTAAACTGAACTCTTGCTATTCAAAAGTAGAACACTATGGTCAACTCAAATGAATATAGACAGACATGCCTGAGAACTTGAAGTAATAGTATTCTATTATCCAAATAATGAGTTTATTGAAAATAGCAACAATTATCTCATATACTATTTACCTAGGACTCCTGCTAGAACACACAGTTGCAATACAGGGTAACAGAATGATCCTAGAAGCCTGTTAATTAGGGCTGTGCAAAGCTTCGGTCCCTGATTCGATTCGGCAGAGATTCAGCCTGATTCAGTGGCTGAATCTCCAAATCTAAATAGAATCAGGAGACCTTTTAATCTCTCTGAATCGAACTGGAACCCTCTGAATTGATTCGGAGAGATTCATAAAGATTCGATGATTCAGATATAAATGTTTAAATGTTTTTTCTACATACCTCAAGGTACCAGGTGGCTCATGAATGGTGTGATGGTGGGGTGGATGGAACATCTCACAGGAGCATGGGGGGCTCCCCAGCACACTCTGCAGCAGACCCAGAGGTGGACCAGAAGCACTTCCAGTCCACTTCCAAGTCTGCCCAGGGAGCATGCTGGGCCCACCCTTGTGCCCTCCCAGCTCAGCGACTGGTGCCTCCTGGGTCGGGGGGAGGTACCTGGGGGGTACCCGGGGTCCCCCCATGGCTGATTCACTTCTGGGTTCACTGCCAAGCATGTGTGTGTGTGTGTTGGGGGGCCTCTGTGCTTCTGTAGGATGCTCCATCCGCCCCACCATCGCAGTGTTCACGAGCCATGCCTGGTACCTCGAGGTATGTAGAAAAAAACATTTAAAGCTATGTCTATGGCCAAATCGCTGATTCTCTGAATCAGCATTGAATCTTCAGATTCGGCCGAATTGAATCACTGTCCCTGATTTGGGCTGAATCCGAATCAAATACGGCCCATTTTGCACACTCCTACTGTTAATGTGAATTCCAGTTACAGCAGCTCTGAGTCTGGGTGTGTCACATGGACATCTGAAGGCAAAATCTGAGTCCCTATACAGGTTTCCTTTGCTTTATGCAGTTTCTGTATGTGTGAATTCAATGGCCCTTTTTATACCAAACATTCGTTATATGCGAGGTAAATTCACTCTTATGCAATCGGTGTGGTGGAAGCCTGCAGTCAGTTGCTTTGTGCAGTGCACTGTGGGAGTGATGCACACCAAAATATAGTCTGTGTGGATCTGTGCTCTCCGCTCATTGTCTGCGATACATGTTTCTGTAGTTGCCATGCCCATCAACTAAACATTCACCACCTCCCCATGCTTGTGCGTACTGTCTGCTGTTGGTGAGTACCAAAACTGTCTTGAAAAAGTGATAGAAAGAGGTCTGGGGGTCAGTGTAGTTGAGGTCTTGGAATGTATCCCTATTTGTTACGTTGTAAAGTGTAAATGGGTTTTCTTTATGCCAATTCAAGTTATGCGCTGTTTTCCAGGAATGGAGAACATGGAGCATTAAGCATGCTATTCCATGTATAGCATTAAGCAAGGGAAACCTATACTTAATTTGGCAAATCTACATATTTTGTTCAAAGTCTTATGGTTTGGTGAAAGTCACTAACAGCACCTAGAATACTATTTTTTTTTTAAGTGGAAAGATTGCAAAAGGCTGTCTTTTTTGAGCTTCTACTACAAGGGCACATCTATACATATGCCCGACTGCACAGCTGTTACTAAAGCAAATACTAAATTGTGCTAAAGCAAGTACTAAATGATTGTGCATTAAGTGCTGGAACGTCACAGTCCCAGCATTGCATGGGTTGTTTCCAACGCTACTGTGCAGTAGCAATGAGGTAGCTCATTGTAACTGCACAGTAGTGGTGGTGTCACTGTTCATGCCTGCTGACGCTACATGTAGACATGCCCTGACAGTGTAAGAACTAACAGAGCAAGAATTATTATAATTTTTTAAACAGTTACTGCATCTAGAATACCATCTAACAATTTTTTGGAACTTCTTGGTAGTTTCTTTTATTGTGAAAAATACCAAACTATAAGACACATGAGGATTAATAATGTACAAATATACTTGACAGTTGTTACTCAAATCTGAAGAAGCTTGTGGGATTCATATGTTTAAAAGACAATTAGGATAATATGACTGAAATGAGTATATGTATCTATATGATCCTTCATCTGCAGTAGCTTCTGATAAAATATTTTTCCTGGCATGATAAATTCTTTCTTAGTTTGCAAGTCGTTGCGTATTTTGCCACGAGCATAGCTATCATTGTGTATTGTTAAAGCTCAATATTTCATAGCTAGAAGTAATAACTGTTCAAATACTTTAAAAAAGCTCACTAGCTTTTTTAAGCTGTGAGATCTAGGTATTTTTCTTCCCATTATTCTCTTCATTACTTGTAGTAGCTTCCCAGCTATTGGAAACAAACAATGGACTTATCTAATCTTTCAGTTTTCTATAAGATACCAATGAAGTCATCCTCAGATAGGCCCTGATAATCAAACACATGGGGCTTGAGATTATTTAAAATGTTTTAAAAAGAATCTTCACAGCTGTGGCCAAAGTGGAAAAAAAATGATGACCACATATAATATTATAGGAACAGTGACACATTTTTTATTTCTAATTATTAGAATTCAATTTCTGGTACTTATATGATTTGTTTATTTTTTTATAATTAATCACTGTAACAGGGAACCCTGCCTGTTACTAGAAAGTGCTGTAGTCCCTTTAAGGACAGAATTTTTAGAGCACAGCCAGCTGGTAAAGCAGGAGTTAGAGCAGTGGTTCCCAACCTTTTTTTTTGCCACAGCCTGGAGCGAGCGGGACAGGGCACGCAGAGCTGGCTGCCTCCCTCCCAGGGCTCCCCCAGTGCCTGCTTTAATCCTAAAAGCTCAACTGTGACCTGAGAAGCAGTTTGCTCAGGTGGACAGATGCGGGTCTGAGTGGGGGGCTCATGCCATGACCCAACAGCCAACCTTCCATGGGCTGGTACCGGGCTGCAGCCCAGTGGTTGGGAACCTCTGGGTTAAAGGACATCTCTGCAGGCAGATCAGCTGACTGGGACATCACATGACTGGCTCAGGCCAGAGTTATATAAGCCCTGGGGTTGAGTTAGCCAAGGGAGAGGGACAGCCCTGGGAATGACAGAGTATGGGGCTCCTGAATGGCCAAGGAGGCTGGAAGAAAACAGCTTTGCAGGCCAGGAGACAAGGCCAGAGTGACCCAGAGAGAGATGTTTGGTAAGCAGGCATGCAGATTCTATTTTTCTTAGTGTTACCGTATTTCCAGTATCAAAAAAGAGGACACCTGTCGGGACGATGGGGTGGGGTGGTAGGGGAGGGGAGGAAAGGGGGAAAAGGTATATGATTGAGGGTGGGCAGTGATATGGGCAGTTATATGCCCATGCCCTGCCTCTGCCCCTCACTCCTAAGCCCGAGCTCTCCCAGCCCTGCTGCTGCCTCTCACTCTTGACCCACTGTACCTTGCCCCCCAGCCCTGCCAGTGCCTCTCACTCCCAACTCATGGCACCCTGCTGCCCCCAGCCCTTCTGGTGCCCCTTACTCCTGACCCACAGCCCCCTGCCCTCCCCAGCCCTGCTGCCCACACAGCTTGCACGTGCATATTTGTGTGCACACACACACACACCCTCTCTCTCTCTCTGTGTCTGTGTCTCCTTACCTGTGAGCAGCTGCCGGGGCCTGCATGCAGAGCACGTGATCCCCTGACAGCCAATCACCTTCCCCCGCTTCTTTCAGCCCCAAGCAGCTAAGCCACAAGTGCGGGGGTGGAGGGAGGGGGAAGTAGAGGTAGAGCAAAAACCTGGACATTTGCTTGCAGTTTAAAAACCCACCCAGATAGAAGACAGGGGGCCAAAAAAGGGACAGTTTTTATGTTGGTGTTTTGGGCTGGGACTGTAAGGGGAAGTTTTCAGAGGTCCCATTATTATCCTCATGGGTATGTGCTTGTCTTGAGTTCTGCTGGGGCAGGTTCAAGGCAGAATGTGGGCTGGGGCCCAGAAACCAGGGCTAGAGAAGTGGGCCTGGGCTGTGGGATCAGCCAGAGTAGAGGGGCAGAAGCTGGGAAGGCTAAAACCCCAACAAAAAGGGAAAAGAAAGGCATGGTGTAGCCTGTAGACTGTGGAAAATTAATCCATAACTGGAAAATTAATCCATAACTGGGGAGGTGGTCTAACTGAAATTGTGGGACCAGGATGCTACCATCTATTTGATAATGGTGAAGTCAAATGTAGGACTTTTGTGTAAGTTTTATCTCTGATGCTTCAAGTGTGTCATTGTTTGAAAGAACTTCAGTTTGGATTGCCAAGATTGTACTCAAATCATATGAGACAAGACAGAACACAAGACAGCAGACATAAAAAGAACAAGGGTCCTACCCAAATGGAGATTCAAATTTGTGAGGCATGGGGCATAGTTTAGGCGAGGTATGGAGCCGTACAATTAACCCTAAAGGCAAGAGATCTACACCTCCAGGTGTTCCTTGGAGTTAGACTATACCTGGGAAGCCCTGGGGCAGCTTCCCTTTGTGAACCAGAAGGAACATCAAGATGTGGTGGGTGAGTGAAGGGGAGACTGTTCCCAGAGTGAGCAAGGAAAGGGGGAATTTTGGAGGCCTCCAGGGGCTTGCGAACACCCTGGGAATGGTGCCCCATTACAATGATAATCAACATAGAAAATATATCTCGTTAAACTACAATTTCCAGTTGCTAAAGATAACAGCATTATTGTAATAGACTGAGACTTCTATAAAATACTTGGATTTGATACCATGGGAAAATTTGGTTATAAGACAGTAGAATGATACAGATTAAACAAAGCACACAGAAATGGATGAAAAATTGACAGGTTGCAAAATGTAATTGTAAGAGGGGAATCAGGACTGTACAAGTATGTTTCTACTGTAGGTACCAGTGTTTGGTCTTCTACTCTTTAGCATTTTTATCAGTGGGTGAAAAAAAATCATTAATAAAGCTTCAAGATGACACAAAAATTTGGGAAGGCATAAACAATGAAAAGAACACAGGTCACTGACACAGTGAAGCCAGAGTTTTTGGTGAACTGGATACAATCAACTGCTGTTTCAATATGTCAAAATGTAAAGAAATGCTGTTTAAGCCATATTTATGAATTGAGTGATTCTAACAATGGAAACTGTGGCTCTAAAAAGGACCCGGGGGCTATGGCGAATAATCAGCTGAACTTGAGTCTATAGCACAATGCTGGGGATAAAAGTATAAGCAAAGCAAAAGTATAAGTAAGAGGGGAGAAATTATATCTACATTGGGCACCAATGGAATCCAGGCCAAACTGTAATAACGTCTCATTTTGTTGTCCACAACTCAAATAGAATGTTGAAAAACGGGAGAAGCTCCAGAGAAGAGCCACAAAAATGATCAAAGGACTGGAAAATATCCTTTATAGTGAAGGACTTGAGCATCTTGGAGCATATTTGTCACATCTTTTCAGGGTGATGTGATGAATATCAGACAAAACTAGAGGACTCCTCAATCTAGCAGGCAATGGGCACATCTACATATGCAACTCAAGCAAATGAATATACTCCAGCTCAATTTGAACCAGAGTGAACTAGTTCCGATGTCACTGTCTACATGTGCTTTTAAGTGCAATAATTTACGGCGCTGCTGGATACCATTTGTATCTGTTGGGACTATTCGGCAGCACAGTAAATTAATCTACTGCGCCCTAATTGCCGTGCATGTGTAGACAGTGACGCTTTACTGTGCAGCAAATTAGTTTGCTGTGCAGTCAAGAGTCTCATTTAAATGTGCCCAATGTGTGGATCAGGCAAGGTATAACTAGACAAAATCAAATTGCTATATGGGTGCAAATTGAAATGGTACAAATTCAGACCAGAAATAAGGCATTTTTAAAGCTGTTATGATAATCAACCGTAAGTGGATTCTTTTCCAAGGAAAATATTAAAATCAAGATTGGATATTTTTATGAAAGATGTGCTTTTGTTCAAACAAATTTTTTCAAGGACATCCCATGGTCTGTGCCATACAAGAAGTCAGACCAGATAATTAGAAAGGTCCTTTCTGGCCTTAAAATCTATGAATCTACAAGTAAGAGTTAAAGATTTTCACTCATCTTGAATAGTATTTTAGCCCAGAAATAAATTCTAACAATTTCAATGATAATATTTGTGAAGTACGCCAATATTCAATGAGTAATATGGCATTAAATAGTGGTTTCTTTTTTTATATAGAGCTATAATTCAGTCCAAGATGTAATTGATAGCACACTAGATACATAAACATTCTTTTATATCTGCTGCTTTGTGTTCTGTCTTGTCTCATGATTTGAATACAATTCTGGCAAGCAAAACCAAAGTTCTTTTGAACAATGACACAATTGAAGCATCCGACATAAAACACACAAAAAGTCCCACATTTGACTTCAACACTATCAAATAGATAGTAGCATCCTAGTCCCACAATTTCAGTTAGAGCATCTTGTCAGTTATGGATTAATTTTCCAATTTCTACAGTCAACTCATTCATCAACCATCCCTGTAATTGTTAAAGTTGCCTGAACTCTATCTTTTTCCTTCTTCACATAGATAGACACACAAATCACCCTCTTTGGTATGTATTTAATATCAGACATTAAGTTGGAGGTGATATGGCAATTCAAACAAAGCAAGTCTTAGAAAGAGGTTTTTATGCAATGGAAAATACACCTATCTAAAAAGGGGAGGAGCAGTGTGTCAATCTGTCACCACATCCTAATCAACAAGAAGTTTATAAGGATTCCAGTAGGATCATATGATGCATTCCTTCTCTCTGACGGTATATTCACATAACCTCAAGCCAAAGATTCCTTAAGAGATAAGTTTAATCATCAATCAAAATAAAGAATATAAATCACTATTTTATCTACTGTATTACGTCACTTATAATTACAGTGGGCAAACAGTCTCAGGGCCTAGATGGCCTGCAGAAGATTAAATCTGGAGTAAGAGAGAATTGTTTACCTTGTTTTTTTCTTCAGCCTTGGCTGCCTGTCTACAGGCTGGATGCCAGATAGAAGTACCTGTAAATTAAAACCAGCATTCTGGTTAATTCTTTCCCCCAAAAAGCAGCTTTACTAAAGCATGGCACACCAATGTACAGTAGCTTGAGAAAACCTGAGTGAAATCCTGGTAAGTCAATGGAAGTTTTACCACTGACTTCAACAGGATTTAATGTCTGACTGCTAAAAAAAGAGACAATCTTGTAATATTAAGAATTCACTTAAAACTTCCTACCTTTTTAAAAAAATCTTTAGACCAGATGCCCACCAAAAAGCAAAATAAACAAAAAATCCCCTTTGTGTCCTAAGAACCACCATGTAATACCTTGGTCCTGATACTCAGCTGGTATTTCCTGGTAAAATGTTACTAACTTCAGTAGAGATATGTCTATTTATACTGGTTGAAAACTTGTGTCTTTATTTGAATTGATCATGAAACTAACATTCATCTTGCATTCCCTCCCCATATGTCCTACATAAATTAAGTACCATTGTTTTAGGTCACTTATTAAAGAGAACAGGAAATGAGAAACAAAAATAAATCAACCCTTCTAATACAATAGAAATGTATATTTTAAGGCACAGAAGGAGTCAGAAAAACAAAACAAAGTAATCTTTTATTTGAACACATTAGCAATCAAACTTCAAAGGGGAGCACAGATCCATCCAGGATTCAAAGTTAAAAAAGAGCAACTTTCACAAAGTTAATAAAAGATGCTAGATTAATATGCAAATCTTTTAGGCAAAGAAGTGTAGGTGCTTTTCCCTGAACAATAATTGAGCATTATGACTACAATAGCAAGCCCATTCTCAAACAGAAAACTGGAAATCAGGAAAAATGTCCTAATAAGTCAATACGAGTCTGTATCCATAGGAGAACAGGCAATTTCCCACATGTGTATGTGAAAAGATCTCAAGCAACCCCATTAATTCTGTATTGATTTTAATCCTCCAGGTAGCCAGATCCTTAGAGCACAGGCAGATGAGACAATTCCCCCCCTATCTGGCCACAGAAAGCAGTCTATAGTTGTGAGCCAACACAAATGCATTGTAAGAGGGTTCAGATGAAGACACTTCAAAACATAGCACCTTCTGTAACTTGTGTCTGTGTTGCCTCCCAACCTGTTGCTGTTTTCAGAATGGGAGGGGGGGAAAGGGACTGGTGTAAAAAAAAAAAAAATTACTAAAAATAGTAGTGCAACATACATGGCAGCAGCATGTGCCACCAGAAACTGGAGCCTGGCCAGCCAGAGCCATGCTTTCACTGCTGGCCAGGCTCTGAGTGGCCGGCTTGGCACTGCTGCTGCCCCAGAAGGCACATAGGACCCCATGTAAGGCTGCTAGGACCAGCACAGGTGCTGGCCTCAGCCTTCCCTCTCTCACCTGGGCTCTTCTGCTGTGTGCCAAAGCACACGTGCAAAGGTATGCCTGGGGACAAATAGCGGCGGTACAAATATGTACCACTGCTATTTGTTCCACAGAAAAAAAGTGCTCCTGCATGTGCGCGTTCATGGAGATGAGCCCTGTGAATGAAATTTGGCCCAGAATCTTCTCTAAGCACAATACCATGACTTAGCATCATCACTTTTGAAGAAGCCTCTTTTTATACACAGTAACAAACATAAGTTTAGTCCAAGTCAGTGATAGATTCAAGACTGGACACTTGTGTTGCCATGCCTCACACTTTGGCTTGAATGCCCTGCCTATATATACCCTTTGACTATATTCTGTTAATATTTATTATTATTGTTATTATTAAATTAAATTAATTTAAATTGTCCCATCCAAGGTCAATGATGAAGAATTACAGGGGTATGGGAACTACTTGCATACTGAGAGAGTGCATCTACCTGTGCGATTACCCCGATGTAATAAACTCTCATGTAATTCGTGCTGGAGTCAGCTGCTCCTGGACACATCTACACGTGCGCCTGGCATTTCAGCAGTTTTAGCTCAGGCAGAGCAGCCCTGGGCTGGTAGAGGGCTTGTGGGGTCAGCCCCAGGCTCTGGGTGGCAGTGTTAGGTGACAGAGGAGCTGGATGGTGCTTGAGAGGGCTGGCAGGCATCCCCTGCACTGTAGCACCCTCATGCCCCAGTCAGCCCCAGTCACCATCTACAGGTGTACTGGACAGTACTATTCTACAGCAGAGTTTATTAATTTACTGTGCCCTAGTATGGGTACATGTGTGTTTATACTCCTCCTCTAAAGTATTTGCTACTTGGAATTGTCAGAGACAGGATAATGAGCTAGATGGACCTTTGGTATCATCTAGCATGGCTGTTTTTATAGTTTTATTTTTTTAGAAAAAATGTAAGGGCTGATTGATTTTCTTGTGCGTTCCCAATAAAAATAAGAAAAATAATGTTACAATAATAAGTACAATAATGTAATTTCTACAGTGTTTGGGGGATGAAGACAATCAAAATATTGTTAAAATAGGTATTATTGGGTTTTTTGTATTAATGAAAACAACTAATAAAATTGTTCAGTGGTATTTCATTAAGAAAGTGAATTCATAGAGGGAGAGTTGTGAGTATGGGAGGGTGAAATAAAATTTAAATATAAAACTCAACAAAAAGAAAAAGAGAGGGGGAAGAAAATCAGGGAGAGAAACTTAGCATAAAAACTTAAGAATAAGAAAGAAAATAGTATATAAAAATCAAAAAACCTGGCAGTATGCTCAGTGTTTAGAGGGAAGTTTTGTATAGATAAATATGCCAAAAAAAGAATTATTCATAAATCGTAAAGACAAGAGAGATAATTATGATTGCTCACTATGATACTCTACAGAATACAGGCCTTCAAAACTTACTAAATAATTACATAATTTCTACATGATTCTCCATAGCAATACTAATCCTAAGCTTTAAAGCTTTTCCCAGAGGAGAGATGAAAGTTGCTAGAATTTACTTCACAAAAACATTCTGAACAAAAATTTGAACCCAGAGCACAAAACAATATTAACAAGCAAAGACCAGACAATGTTGTTTTGCAAAACAACTTTAACTTGAAAAACAGAACTAGGCAGAAGTGGTTTTACTGTGTCATTATGTACAACAGCAATTCAGTTCCAAGAAAAATACAGAAGTAGAATTGTGAACTGTGACAAGACGGAGCCTGAGAACTGCCATGATGCCCACCAGTGGCCACTTCCATCCTGTCCAGCCCCACTCGAGTCTCCCCAGGTTGCAATCCATTCACTCGCCTGCCATGCCTTGATGGTCAAGAAAAATAATAAAGACAGACTGCCCCTCAGGGTTGGTGAGTCTTTTGGGCTCTTTCTTTTTTGCCCTCAGTCCCTGTTTTCTCAGGCTCTGCCAGCCTTAAGGGCTAGATTCATGGCCTCCTTCCACCCCTAAAGCCATGCCCATGCCTTGCAGATGGTACAAGTTATCACTGTAGTGGGGCATCACACCTCTCTGCATTGCTTGGTCCTCTGGTCACAAAAGCCTTGTTGGGACTTTGGCCTTCCTATACTTGGACCCTTTCCTCCAGCTGCATCCCCTGGCCCAAGATGTACCATTATGGGCCCCATCCCTGTCTTGCTCTTTGTGGACTATGGCTGGCCTTCTTTGTTTCAGGTCACCCCTATTCTTTTCCCTGGTTCAGGCTTTGGCCCTCCTGGCTTCAGCCTGCCTATGTTCACCCTTCCCAGGCTGTGGGCTCTGTCCCTCCCAGTCTCAGCCCCACCCTCCGACTAACCTCTCTCACATTTGAGCTATTGGCTCTCTGTGTCTTGTGCCTCTGTCCCCAGCAAGCGCCAAGACCTCCTGCATCTCTTGGGCAGCCCTGTTGTTTGCGCCCCTGACTCTGGCAGGACTCAGTAGTGTGCATCTATGGCACCTCCATGGCCTCCTCATCACCCCTTATAACCACACCATGGTCTACTGGTACAAACGGGAACATAAAAAAAAACTATTACTTTAACAAAATCTGTCCTGCTTGGGTAAACAAACGTTAGGAACAAAAATTAAGAGAAGCAGTGACTTTAACAAAACCCTCGCCCCCTTGGGGCAAAAAATATACATCAGGCTGTCCTTGCTCCCTCGGCTCTTACCACTCTGTCTCCAGCGTTCTGTGCCAGTCAGTCTCTCCCAGGTTGCTCTATCTCCTTTTGGGAGCTCAGTTCTCTTTTGAGCACCAACCCAGCCCCTGCCCCTCCCTCCTTGCTCAGAGACTGGGTTTTCAAGTGCCTTGGAACATGGCCCCTTCTAATCAGGTGACTCTCTCTTTGGCATAGCAGTGTCTCTTTAATTCTAACATGTGGCACTCCCCAGCTATAGCAGGGCTTTGCCACCTGTGGTCTCTTTGTTAGTAACAGGAGGCTTTGGCTTCCTATTACATTGACACAAACTTTCTTGACTCACCAACCTTTTAGAACTTTCCAATGTCCTGATCCAAATTCCATTTAAGTTGAAAAAAAAATCCCCATTAACTGCAATTGCATTTGAATTAGCCTCTTTGGATCATTTATGTTTGAGCTAATAGCATTTGATAGAGATGGTTTGGTAGGGTTTTCTCTCAGAAAAAAAATCTAAAAATTACTTATACCAACACCCTGATTTTTTTTTTTTTTTTTTTTTTACAAAAGTTAATCTATTTGGCAAAAATGTCTCTTTTCTCAAGAAAGAGAAAAATTACATTAAACAATATAATGATAGAAAATTTCTAATCTTTACATATCATTTTTACTAAGGAAGTCTGTGAAATCCACTAAACATATATTATGATTCTGGCACTGCAATTGTATTACTTATATGGCACTACAGTTGATTGGCATCTGCTACATAGACATTACATACTTAAGTTTTCTTAACATATATTTAATAGTCAGAGTCACTCCTTGTTAGTTCATAAGAAATGGAAAAAGGGCAAATAATAAATGAACATTTTTATTTTTAGCTGTCAAGAGTGTGTAACTGGGCTGGTCAGTGATTCTGGCATTCCAAATGATGCCATGAAGTTTATACAGGTTTTTAATGGAAATAACATTCTAGATTGTAGATATTAAAAACATAATACTGGTGTTGACATGAAAAATCCTTCGGATCTGAAAGTGCAGAAAACATAGGACCCCAACCAAAATCTTGGATCTAAACCTCCCTGAAATGTTTGAATTTGAACTTAGAGCAAAGATTAGCTTGTACCAATCTTGCAATATTGATATATGGGGTTAAACTGAAGCCTGGCATCCAAATTCACCCAGCCACTGGAGGTTTTGAAATCTAGAAACACATTTTGTGGCTTAGCACCAACTCTAAGGTTCATTTTACCCTTTGTAAAGAATAAACACAATGAATGATTCTACTATACCTCTCTCACTTAAATAGTTGTAATATAGAGCTGGGAAAACATAACAGTACATTAATTAGTATATCAACCCATTAACTATTTCATCCCAATTTATTTCTCTTTCTGTTTTGCTGTGAAAATGGAGTACCAATCAAAGGCAAAATTAAAAGTTGGAATCCCAAGGGACTTCATGTTATATTAGTAACTAACATTATAAAATGTAATGGTTTAAGTATTTTTATTTTGGTAAATTAGTTATAGCTAATTTACCAAAATATAACATATCTGTTATATGTGACCAATTTACTTTAAACCAAACCTGTATTAAATGTATTCAGTGCCAGTGGGTTACTAGCACTGTATTTACTACAGAGCAGATCCTGGTTTTGTGTCCACCACCACTGAAGCTCTCCTGAAAGAAATCAGCATAGCATGAAATCTATTGTGCAAGGGTAGAGGCAGGATCCTGTGTAGTAAGGAAATCCACAGGGGCCACCTCTAAACCAGAAAGTTATGCTTTGGATGTGGCATGGTCAAGCTAGATTTCCTCCTCTTACCTGAATGGGGATTGGGTGTTATCTCTGTTTCAGGGTTGCAGCAGCAGTTACAGACCTGCTCTACAGCCTGAAAAGGATAAATCCCATACTACCAGTGTGGATTTTTCCCTATGGATACATTAATGCTGCAGAAAACTCCATTTTCTGCATTTCAGAGCTTATGGAAAGTTTCAGAACTCTACTCTCCAGTGCTTCCATCTGAAGGATTTAAATAATTTTCTA